CATTGTTTAATGCGTAATCCTGTGTTTTGAAGCAGGAAGGTGAGATGTTGTTTTGCAGGCAGACCAAGATGAAGCATCCTGTCATTCCCAAGTCTGCCTACACGTTCTGTATGAAAACCGTAGAAAGGTTGGGGGGGTGGTCGATGTTGGTTACCCAGTTATTTGACGCTGATTGAATGGAGTAGACGAATGACGATGTCTGATGTTGGTGTATAGGACCTGGTGAAGAGCCACCTGATGTACGCGGTGAGAGAAGAGGTGGAGGTGCTGAAGGAGCAGATCAAGGAGCTGGTGGAGCGGATCAGTCAGCTGGAGTTCGAGAACAAGCTGCTCAAGTCCCACGCTTCGCCCGAGACGCTCGCCCTCCTCCGATCCTCAGCCTCCAATCCTCCCGCGGGGAACCCACCCTCGTAGCACCTCCACGACCTCCACCTCCACCTGTGATGACCTCGTCGACTCCGAGGTGAAGGACGGGCGTAATATGCCTCGCTTCCGGCTTCGTCGTCCCGGATTTCGTCCGTCTTCCGGACGGGTCCACTGTGTTTTTTTTTTTCTCGACTCTTTTTGTCATGACAGTGAGGCAGGAAGATTGCCTTCGACTCTTTGCTCTTTTTTTTTGTCGTAAGATGAAAAAAAAAGTTTCCTCGAGGACCACCTCTTGGTGCCAGACAGCACAAGTAGGATCTGTTCACTGGAGTCTTTCACGTGGAAAGAAAACGGATTTCCTCCCTTTTCTACGGTGAACGTCGGCAGTGCCTTGCTTCGCCTCTTCGTTCCACTTTTCTCGCTCTTATAGGTCCATTGATCAGAACTAGTGCAATGATTTTGTGAAAGAGCTTGGGAAAATATACAAAACACTATTTCCTAAAAGCTCGCGTGTTTTACTCCGAATCGGCAGTTTCGATGAGCTGACTCTGACTTCTTAAAAGTATTAATTCAATTAAGTCACTCAATAATTATCTAGAAGTGCCCTAATTTTATTAAGCTGACTCAGCTTCTTCAGAAGAGAAGGATTCAACAAAATTTGAATTTCCCCCATTTTTTTTGTGGAAATTATCAAGCTTTAGCGGGAATGATTAAGAAAGTCACTTTATTCCGAATAAGCTGCACCCTCAACAGTTCCTCGCGTCAGTCTACCTTTACGTTTAAGCAGTCGAGAACCGTAGCACGAGTCCACCTTCGAGACGAGATATTTTACACACGAGTCCACGACCGAGACCTCAGCGTCTCAGGAAATTGTTGGAGTTGAACCCCGCGAGGAAATTCCTGGCGCGGTTCCGCGAGAAGACGAAGTTCGGGTCGTCGCTGCGGACGGCGACGGACACGTCCACGCAGTCGCTCTGGTCCACGGCGAGGAATCGCTTCGGGTCGATCCCGATCCCCCGCAGTCGCGAGTAGATCTGGCCCAGCGTCCCGCGGGAGATCGCCGCCGCCCGGCCCAGGATCCACGCCGTCTCTGCGATCAGAAATCGACTCAGAAAAATCGTCGACGCGAGCGTTCGAGTCACGGTCGATGAAATTAGCACGAGGGGGAAATTTTTGCATAAGTTGCAAAATATGGAGAAACATTTAAAAATGACAAAAATTGAGAAATAGGCTGAAATAAAAAAAGCATGAAAACTCAGATAGCCAAAAGCGAGAAATAGGCGTACCCGTATGATACTGCCCCCGGCAGAGCGACGAGCAGGAGAAGAGCACGGCGTAGGACTCGTAGTCCGTGTCCAGCACGAGATACGGGAACTCCTCCGGCTCGGGCGAGGACGGCGTGGGGCTCAGACGCACGCTCATCCGCGAGAGGTCGCTGTAGTCGAAGCTCCCCACCCCGTAGGACACCAGGGGCCTTCCCGTCCTGGGGCGACGAGAGAACTTTTGAAAAAATTTGAGGCGCGATCGCGAAGCAGGTGTAATTCCGCGTTTAATTCACGTAATTTCGCTTCGTTCACGATCCTCCAGGCAATCCCGAGGGGCCGCAGGAACACGTTCCCATCGGCACGTAGGCCCCACGTGTTTCGGGGTCAGCCGGCACGATCACCGCGGAACAGGTTCTCCACGTGCTCGATCGATATCCTTTTCTGCGATTGGTCGGCGGGCCTGGCATTGCGATTGGTCGACGGACGTGGGGCCTGGTGCCGTGATTGGTCGGCGAGCGTAAGCACCTATTCTGCTCATGACGGCTTGAACAAGTTCGCGAAGTTTGGAAGTGACTCCGTGTGGAAAATATGCACATACTTAATGATTAATATTAATAATAATAATCAGGGCCGGCCCTTGTTATTTCGGCGCCCTGTGCAAAGAGACTCCCCCCCCTAATGGGGAAGGGTCAATCTCTAGCGCCCAAATTGACGCCGACGATTCAGTCACGTTTTGGCACCCCTGGTGAATTTGCGGCACATGCCTAAGACTGGCCCTGATAATACTATCCTTCATAATTTTTCTGGACGTTCCGGCCTGAAGATATCTAAAGAAATAATTGAGTATTGATTGTTTTTGTTCGTTTTTTCTTCAGTATTTCCCATAAAGCCGGCAACCGTGCAAACCACTCCTGCCATCTGCAGGGAGACTCCCCAACTAAGCTCTCACTTCGGAGTCGTTTCAAACTCTTTGGGTCCAACCAGGTGAGAAATGATTCACTCATCGTCCCAAGCCTTCCTCGCGCAGATTCTCATCCCCTTTTTGCATAATTCCGGATGGAATTCCGTCTGGAAATGTAATTGCTGAGGGAAAAAAAATATTGCGGAAGCTAGGCTAATCACCAAGTCCCTTGAAACCAGGCTAATCGCCAAGTCCCTTGAAGCTAGGCTAATCATCCTTGATGTGCCTAATCGTTGCAAAAGCTCGATCCCCATCGCGTTAGGGGAGAAATTGCAACAGGGCCGTCAAGGGTACGCTCAACTGAATACTAAATGAGGAATGTAAATGAGGGACGAAGGGAAGTCAAACATCGTTAACAATGAATGAGGAAAGGTAAACAAAAAAGCAGTTCCACGAGAGATAGCCCAATTTCAACAAGGACTCCAACGGGAATTGGATTTGTATCATTGCATTGCAGCGCAATCAGATTAAACATATTTTTTTTGCGTGCTACCCTTGGATTATATATATGCGCGATTTCATTCCGCAGGAAGTTAGAATATCAGCTTTCAGATGGAATTTTTCCCCCGCTCGGTACAAACTCGACATCTAGGTTGTCGATTACAAAGGTATTAGTTCTCCCTCTGGTGTGCAGATGTCAGGTAGAGTCAGGACTGGCTCTGCCCGGATCATTCGTCCAGCGCTGATCGTTCTGGGGTGATGATTCCCGCATTTTTCATTGCGGTGTCGGTTGTCTCTGGAATGCCGGTATTTCGTGCTGAATTCGCGTTTCGGTTCGCAGGATGCGCCTGGAATTCGAAACGCAGGATGCGCCTGGAATGAGGAAGAGCCGCGGAAGAAATTGTGGATGGTCCGGCGACGTCAGAAAAACGTGTAAATGTTTTTTCGTTCTCGTGCCTGCCGCATTTATATTGCACTTGGAGTTATCGGAGAGCTGTAGAAAGTTCTGCATGGGTTACTCCTCAGTTTATAGCCCTCAAGGGACGATGCTGAGGGACGCGGAGGGATGCAGAGGGATGCAACCTCACCTGGCGTGAAGGGCGGTGCTGATAAGGGCGATTCTTCCGTCCGGCGTCGTGCTGTACTCGACCTTCGTGCACTTGCCGTTCGCCTCGTAGTCCGCGTAGAACCGCTCGATCTCGTACCACGTCCCCAGGAACTATCGGCCGGGGGCAAGGTCAAGGTCAAGGTCAAGAGCAACAACCCTTCGAGTGCAATTCCCTGCAATTTCTGGAGCCGGCGAAAATGAAAATTCCTCGTCGAGGGGTCGTTGCCTTTTTGCCCTTTCGCCCTAAATCTTGCAGGTTTTTCTTTTTTTTCCTTCGAGAAATTCAATAAATTGCAAATCTGATGAATGGCAAATTTCCCCTTACCATAAACAGATAAAAACTAAAAATCAAAACTTCCACTTACCCTTCAGAAAAGGGCACATCTGGCAAATGGCAAATTCCCCCTAACCATTAAAGAAAAAAAGGGGGCAAATCTGGGAATTGTCGAATGTCCCCCTCTTTGCCCCTAAAAAGGATCCAATCTGACCATCGTCCCCCCCCCCCCCCCCCCCCCCCCCAAAAAA